TTTTGGGGGATGGTGTGGAAACCTTGTTCAGTGGAAACTTCATGGGCTCAATGACGGTGACCCTAGTGAGAACTCCCAGTAATGGAGTCTGAGCTGGCCCTCTTGTAGCCAGGCAAGGTTTCTAGCGGTGGGTCTGGGCTACGTTTGGTTAAGTTGTTGACCAAGGAGGTCCCATGGAGATCTCTAAAGAACTCAGGCTGTTCAAGGGTACCTCCCACTTTATCTTCTAACGGGTTCAGAGTGGCTAGATTTATGTTGAGGGCTTTGATCCATTTGGACTTAAGTGTTGTGCATGGTGACAGACATAGATCTATCTGCAGTCTTCTACATGCCAGGATCTAGTTATGCCAGCACCATTTGTTAGAGATGCTATCTTTTTTCCATTGTATAATTTTAGCTTCTTTGTCAAAAATCAGCTGTTCATAGCTTTGTGGATTAATCTCAGGGTGTTCAATTCGATTCCATTGGTCTACCTGTCTATTTTTGTGCCAATACCATGCCGTTTTCAGGACTATAGCTCTATAATAGAGCTTGAAGTCAGGAATGGTGATGCCTTCAGATGTTGCTTTGTTGAGCAGGGTTGTCTTGGCTATCCTGAGTTTTTTGTTTTTTTCATATAAAGTTGAGAATTGTTCTTTCAAGGTCTGTGAAGAATTATGCTGGAATTTTGATGGGGATTGCATTGAGTCTGTAGATTGCTTTTGGCATGATTGCCATTTTTACTACATTGATCCTACCTATCCAAGAGCATGGGAGATCTTTCCATTTTCTGGTGTCTTCTTTAGTTTCTTTCTTTAAAGACTCAAAGTTCTTGTGATACAGGTCTTTCACTTGTTTGGTTAATGTTACTACCCCAAGGTATTTTATGTTGTTTGTGGCAATTGTAAAGGGTGATGTTTCTCTGATTTCTTTCTCAGCCCTCTTATCATCTGTACATAGTAGGGCTACTGATTTTCTTGAGTTGATCCTGCCACTTTGCTGAAGGTGTTAATCAGCTGTAAGAGTTCCCTGGTAGAGTTCTTTGGGTCACTTATGTAAACTATCATATCATCTGCAAATAGTGAAAGTTTGACCTCTTCCTTTCCAATTTGTATCCCCTTGATCTCCTTTTGTTGTCTTATTGTTCTAGCTAGAACGTTTAGTACAATATTGAAGAGGTATGGGGAGAGGGGACAGCCTTGCCTTGTTCCTGATTTTAGTGGAATTGCCTAGAGTTTCCCTCCATTCAGTTTGATATTGACTGTTGGTTTGCTGTATATAGTTTTTATTATGTTTAGGTATGTTCCTGTTATCCCAGATCTCTCCAAGACCTTTATCATGAATGGGTGTTGGATTTTGTCAAAGGCTTTTTCAGTATCTAGTGAGATGATCATGTGATTTTTGTTTCTTAGCTTGTTTATATGGTGGATTACATTGATAGATTTTTGTATGTTGAACCATCCCTGCATCCCTGGAATAAAGCCTACTTGATCATGGTGGGTGAGTTTTCTGATGTGTTCTTGGATCTGATTTGCCAGTATTTTATTGAATATTTTTTCATCAATGTTCATGAGGGAAATTGGTCTGAAGTTCTCTTTCTTAGTTGTGTCTTTGTGTGGCTTGGGTATCAATGTTATTGAAGCCTTGTAAAAAGAGTTTGGCAAAGACCCTTCTGCTTCTATTACATGGAATACTTTGAGGAGAATTGGTATACACTGTTCTTTGAATTTCTGGTAAAATTCTGCACTGAAGCCATGTGGCCCCGGGCTTTTTTTGGTTGGGAGACTTTTGATGACTGCTTCTATTTCCTTAGGTGTTATAGGTCTATTTAAATTGCTTATCTGTTCTTGATTTAACTTTGGCAGGTGATATCTATCCAGAAAGTTGTCCATTTCCTTTAAATTTTCGAATTTTGTGGAGTACAGGTTTTCAAAGTATGACCTGATGATTCTCTGGATTTCCTCAGTGTCCGTTGTTGTGTTCCCCTTTTCAGTTCTGATTTTGTTTATTTCCATGTTCACATTCTGCCTTTTGGTGAGTTTGGATAAAGGTTTGTCTATCTTGTTGACTTTCTCACAGAACCAATTCTTTGTTAGGATACTGCTTTCTGAACATAACACCAGTAGCACAAACACTGAGATTGACAATTAATAAGTGGGACCTCCTGAAACTGAGTAGCTTTTGTAAGGCAAAGGACACAGTCAGCAAGACAAAAAGGCAACCCATAGATTGGGATAAGATATTCATTAACCCCACATCTGACAGAGGGCTGATCTCTAAAATTTATAAAGAACTCAAGAAGCAAGTCTCCAAAACACCAAAGGATCCAACTAGAAAGTGGGGGACTGAACTAAGTAGAGAATTCTCAATAGAGGAGCCTAAAATGGCTGAGAGACACTTGAGAAAGTCCTTAGCCATTAGGGAAATGCAAATCAAAACAACCCTCAGATATCATCTTACTCCTGCCAGAATGGCTAAAATCAAAAACACCAATGACAGCTTATGGAGAGGATGTGGATAAAGGGGAACACTCCACCCATTGCTGGTGGGAGTGCAAACTTGTACAGACACTTTGGAAATCAGTATGGGGATTCCTCAGGAAAATGGGAATCAGTCTACCACAAAACCCAGCAATTCCACTCTTAGGCATATACCCAAAAGATGTCCATTCATACAAGATGTCTGTTCCACTATGTTCATAGCAGCATTATTTGTAATTGCTAGATCCTGGAAGCAACCTAGATGCCCCACAACTAAAGAGTGGATAGAAAAAATGTGGTTCATTTACACAATGGAGTACTACTCAGATGGAAAAACAATGGAATCCTGAAATTTGCAGGCAAATGGACGGCACTAGAAGAAATCATCCTGAGTGAGGTAACCCAGTCATAAAAAGAAAAACATGGTATGTGCTCACTCATATATGGATTTTAGACATGGATCAGGAGAGTGTTAGCCTACAATTCCAGGGCCAGTGAGTCTGAGAAACAGGGAGATTCCCAAGAGATATGCATTATACCCCAGAGAAGTGAAATGAGGCAAGATCTCCTGAGCACATTGAGAACATGGTTGGAGGGGAGAGGGAACCAGGAAAAAGAGAGGTAGATAAGAGGAGGGGAGAAGAAGACATGGGGGAGCAGGAAGGTTGAGTTGAGGTAAGAATAGAGGAGAGCAGGATGAGAGATACCATAATAGATGGAATCATTATAGCTTTGAGGAGAGAGCTGACACTAGTGAGATTTCCAGAGATCTACAAGGATAACACCAACTGGTAAACTAAGCAATAGTGGAGAGACTACATTAATAGCCCCTACCTTATGATAAGGTTGATGACTACCTTATATGCCATCCTAGAACCTTCATCCAGTGACTGATGGAAGCAGAGACTCACAGCTAAACACCGAACTGAACCCAGTGACATAGATGGAGGAGTGGTGAGCAAAGTGGTCAAGACCTTGCTGGTGAAACCAACAAAGACAGCTGACTGGACAAGGGGGAACTCTTGAACCCCAGACTGATGCCTGAGAGGCCAATAGGGGACTGATTCAGACTCCATAAATGTAGTGTCAGTGAGGAGGCCTCAGAAATCTCTGGGGCCTTGGGTAGTAGGTTAGTGTTCACCATGGCGTACAAATGAACATTGGGAGCCCATTCCACATAGAGGGATGCTCTCTCAGCCTGGACACATGGGGATGGGCCTAGGTCCTGCCCTGGATGAAATGATAGACTCTGAAGATCCCCCCCAAGGAGGGTACCACCCTCACTGGGGAATGATGTGGGGATTGGGCCGGGGATGGGGGTGGGGGCTGGTGGAGGGACAAGGGAGGTGTGGTGGGAGAGGGAGCTGGGATTGACATGTGAAGCACGCACATTTCTAATTTAAATTAAATAAAAAAGAACCCAGGCTGGTGCTAGGACAGAAAGTTGCCCTCTGCAAACTGATGGGGGGTGGGGAGGGGGGGCGCTGTCGATGACAACTTCCACTGAACTTATTTAACAGATAGGTTAATTAAGCTGGTGCAGACATGGAGCCTTCACTCCTACATTCTAGTCTCTTTGGTATGAGAAGGTACTCTGCAGGCTATGGAAAGAGAAACCAACCCAGCCACAAAACTCTCCACCTACAATCTGCTCTGCTTGAAAGATGTGCTGGGGCAAAGGTGTCACAGAACAAGTAGGAGTGACCAACCAATGTTTGAATTAACTTGGGGCTCCCCCCCACTAGAGGGAGCCCATGCCCTATACTGCCTGCATGGCTAGGAACTGTAGACTGCATAGCCCAGAGACCCAGGGTAGAACCAAACAAACTGGCAATAAAGTAAAATATAAAACCAATGAAATGATTCCTAATGACATTCTGCTACACTCACAGATCAGGGCCTTGTCCAGTCATCATTTGAGAGGCTTCCTCTGGCAGCAGATGGGAGTGAATACAGAAACCCACAGCCAGACAGTATGTGGAGAGAGAGAGTCTAAATTGGAGATCTCTATGGGGCTTCTCCTCTCGGAGATTTGGGAACTCCACAGAAGAGGTCAAGGAATGGTTGTAGGAGTCAAAGGGATTGGAGAACACCAGGAGAACATGGCCCACTGAATCAACTAAGCAGGGTGCATATGGGCTCACGGGGAGCGAAATGGCAGGCACAGGGCCTGCAGGGGTCTGCACCAGGTCCTCTGTATATATGTTATGACTGTTAGCTTGGTGTTCTTGTGGGACTCCTAATGGGGAGCGGGTGTATCTCTGACTCTTTTGCCTGCTCTTGAGACTTTTTTCCTCTTACTGGGTTTTCTCGTCCAGCCTCAATATAAAAGCTCTTGCCTTGTTTTACTGTGTCTTGTTTTGTCCTGTTTAACTGTTGTCTCTTGTAAACCTCCTCTTTTCTGAAAAGGATATGAAGGGGTCATGGATTTGGGGGACAGAGGAGGTGGGAAGGAGCTAGGAGGAATGGAGAGAGGGAATACTTTGGGTGTATTTTAATTAATAAAAAGTTCACACACATACACACACACACACTCTAAGGTCACAGGTATTTGGGACTGTATTTAGGAGAGCCGAGAATATTTTGGCTTTTCCCCAGGATTGGTTTCTTTTAAATAGCATCAGCCCCTACTTTCTGAGCAAAGCAAAGTGATTCTGAACCGAGGCCCCTCTTCTCAGGGCTCGCTCTTGTCACAGAGGGAGGTAAATGCGAAGTTGCAGTCTTCGTGACTGACAAAGCAGGGCAAGCATGTGGCTGGTGATCATGTTAGACAGGCTGTGGGTAGAGCAGTTAGGAAGGCTGGCAAGTGCTTCTTGGCATAGGTGACATTTCAGGCCCCTTTGCTTGATCTCTTCAAGTGGTAACCTCGGGGGTCTGCTTCCAAGGAATGGTGTCACATGGCTCCTGCAATGGTTTTCTGTATCCAGTTGAGATATTTGTTTGTAAGGAGAATGTAGACACCAGGTTTCTTGGGGTCACCACATTTCCCAAAGGAAGTGACACCCCTGAAAATGTTATTACATATCAGAGGGCTTCCAGAATCCCCCCTGGAACAGAAAGAAAAGTGTTTTAAAATATGGTGCTTTTCCAAGATAATTATTAATCATTGTATCCATCCACCTATCCATCCATCCATCTGTCCACCCACCCACCCACCCATCCCTTTTATTTCTTTTTCCTGATTTAAAAGCAAATTTTAAATTTCCTTTAACTAGATAAGTATATGATGATAAGTAAGACTCAGAGAGACAGATAACACATTGTTTTCTTATATGCAGAAACTAAATTAAAATTGAGACTGAGAGACTGAGGCAGGAGGATTACTGTGAGTTCCAGGCTAGTCTGAGCTACAATGTAAGTTCCTGTCTCAAAAACAAAAACTCAATCAAAGGGGAGGAATAACATGACAGAAGGAGAGAGTTTGAAAGAGGAAGAGACCTGGCAGGCAGGTGGGGGAGAACAGAGAGGGCAACACAGTGTTTGTGTGTTTGTGTGTGTGTGTGTGTGTGTGTGTGTGTGTGTGTGAGAGAGAGAGAGAGAGAGAGAGTGTGTGTGAGTAAAAATTTCATGATGAAACCCATTAATATTCACACTGCACAAACTCTAACAAAACTAAATGAGAAAATGAATCAAGAAGAAGAGATTCTCAAAGTGAAAGACAAAACAAAAGTATTCTCCATCACTTGCCAGCCCTATGTAGGGGCTTTTTAGTTTACGGGTTCCTATGTTTTCCAGTCATCCACCCTTTTCAAAAGGAGGTTCTGTAGCAGTGAAGACTCATTGATGCTTTCTTTTTCTTGTTTGCTTTTCAAGCCAGGGTTTCTCTGTATAGTTTTGGAGTCTGTCCTGAAACTCACTTTGTAGACCAGGCTGGTCTCAAACTCATAGAGATCTACCTGCCTCTGCCTCCCGAGTGCTGGGATTAAAGGCGTGAACCACCACTGCCCGGTGAAGAATCATTTCTATCGGTAAGACAAGGGGAGAATATGTCTCTTTTCATTGGCCAGTGTCCTCTTTTTAAATTAGATAATTGTAAATATTAACAATTGACATATGACTATAATGAACTAAGATTAATAAATAATAATAACTATAACCTCTCTGTCTCTCTGTATGTGTGCATGATCATGTGCCATAGTGCGGAGGTCAGAGGACACTTATGAGAGTTGATTCTTTCCTTCTATATGGAGTCTGGGGAGCAAACTCAGACTCTGCAGCAAGCACATTGCTGTCCTTTTAAAAAGTTTAAAAACTTTATGTGTTTTCTCTCTTGTTCAGTATGCCAGGGGAAGACATTTGTTGGGGCAATTAGAAAGCCTGAGATGGGGTCCCAAATATGCCTTTCTCCAAGGAGGACCCTCGATAAGTCATCTCAGACAGAAGGGCACTTTTGATATTTCAAAAAAATTAGGTTATTTTTTCCCCAGGAAATTTTTAGTTCTCATTTCACCTGAAAATGACCATTAGAAAACAGAGGTCACTCCCCAGGGGTCTGCCAAGTGATGGAGAATGGTGCCACCACTCTACGGACAAGCAGTGGTCCTTAGACATAAAAGCGATGACAGCTCTTCCCCATGTTCTTCCTAGAAGATCCCTCCAAACCCTTCATCCCCCAGAGTCAAAGGATGGCCAAACATTTTCATTTACGTACACTGCACGAATCGTCTTCCCCTTGCCTGCCGCCAGCACAGAGCATACTGTTGTCCACCAACTGTTTGAAATCGTAATGCTCTGGATTGTTGCAGACTCTCCGGTCAATCACAGTGAGGTTGACTTCTCTCAAGATGTTGGAAACCTTGCAAGAATCTCTTTTGGTGCTCCCCCATCCGGCCACATGACACTTGGTGTGGGGTTTCACATCCTCTCCTCTTTTGGGGAGGTGAAGTATTCCCACAGCCTTGGTTATAGCTGCTTTACCATCCAGCTGAAAACACAGAGTTGCTTATGGACTCATGAACACAAGTCGGCAGAGGAGGAAACACAAACTGAAGAGAAACCAAGGGGTGGGGATAGAGCAGCTTCACACCACCCAGGAAGCAAGGCAGAAATTAGCATAGGGATGAGGGGTGACCAGGGAGGGCCAGCGCTGGTGGTCTCTGGGAATACAGAGGGAGAGATTAGGCTGGAAATATGGGGACACGAAAGGTGCAAGTCTTGTCAGGGGCAAAAGGAGCCCTGTATCTGTCTCTTTACCCACAGTGGGGAGGATGCAGAATCGCTGGGCTCAGTCTTGTTCTAGCTTATGGAGTTCACCATCAACATTTGCAATTTTGTGAGAAATTGTGAGCCCTTTCTGCTCACTCTCTTCTGGTCCTGTCTTGCTCCATCCTATGTTCTTCATCAAACTTCTTTTAAAAAATTATTATGTACATACTGTTTAGTCTGCATGTATCCCTGCTGTTCAGAGGAGGGCACCAGAACTCATTACGGATGGTTGTGAGCTGTCTTGTGGTTGCTGGGAATTGAACTTAGGAATTCTGGAAGACCAACTAGTGTTTTTGACCACTGAACCATCTCTCTAGACCCTCTACATCACTCTTAATGAGTCTGGTCACATCACCTTCCTGCCTAGAACACTTCCCTGTAATGTTCAAATTTTAACCAAGGTTTAGAAAGCCTTTGTAGTCTGTGTCCTGCTTCACTCTCAGTTCCAAATCTCATCCTAACTCCCTTTCTCTCCTCTTCCTCCAAGCTATTCTATTCCAGACATGCTGCTCTTCCTATCTAGAAAGCTCATCCCTCACTTTTTCCTGGTACCCAGCAGGGTTCCCTGACCACCTGCTCTTCACTGGTGTTCCCATGTTATCTTGGTCCTGGATAAGACGAACACTGTCATTTCAGAGCCAGTAGTATACCTGTATGCCTCTCTCTAGACTGAGTACCGTTAGGGGAAGTCCCACTTACAGCTTGTCTTCTGTCAAGAGGTAGGCAGACTGCACTAACCATTGAGCAGTGGTCCCTAAACTCCTGGTAGTTCTCAACTTTCTCACACACTGTTGGTACCAGACAAGGTGAGCCCATCGAAGGGAACAATCACAGGATGGCTCTGTAGTTGTTTGAGTAGAGAAAAACTGATGTCATTGTCTACAACCCCGAAATGACCAAACCCCATTGGCTAAAATTCAGGATGGCAGTGTCCTTACAATCACAACATTGCTCTCTCTCTTCTGCTTTCTATCTAGGTGGCTAAGACTATAATGATGCCTCACCATAGAGCTAGCCCACTTGCTGCAACACTCTGTTCACAGCAGGTTCTCAGTTCCTCAGTGCTCTACCAGACTCCCAGGCAGAGCTTGACTCCTCCAAGAGGGCCCCCTGCTTGTCCTCTCACTGAGTCTACCCCAGTAGTTTCCCAGAGTGGCCACCTCTCCTGCTGAGTGTCAGTCAGAGCAGACATGTCTCCCTGTGGGGTCTTCTGGTGGCCTTTGGTTGATAAGCCTGGTCCTGTAACAGTAAGAATTTGTGAGAAACTCTTGAGCTAAATGGGAAGGAACACCAGGGGCAAAGTGCTCGATCCCTGCCCTACTAAGGAGCCTTGCATTGGTATGTGCCTCCGTGCATGCGCGTGTGTGTCTGTGTGTGTGTGTGTGTGTGTGTGTGTGTGCATGTCTGTGTGTCTGTGTGTACGTGGGCGCGCTCATACTCACCTCGTGTAGTAATTGCTTTCAGGTTACACTGTCTGTTTACTAAAAGTTTTGAAAGAAAAACAAAAAAAATCTAAACATATTTACCTGAAGGAGTTTAAGATCGCCGTGAAATGTCTCAGGATCATAGCATGGGTAGGAAATTGCCCTTTTAATGGAAAACATCTGTTCAAGTTTCTCTTCCTGTGATGCAGAGTGGGCACCAAGGATAATTTGAGGCTTGCCTCTCCTGAGAAGAAAATCATACAGTATTTAAATAAGAGAATAGAGTAAGCTCAGCTCCTGGGTTAATAGCCTTAGTGTTTGCAGATGGCATCATAGTTATAAACAAGTACAAAACAGGGCCAGGGCTTTGGTGTCTTCTACCTAAGACTTCCATATATGTTATGACACAGTCCAGTTGCCCAAGGGGAAAGCACCAAGGAAGGGAGTCCCTGACTTGGAAAATAAATGTGATTTGGGATGGCCTGGAGAGGGCGTAGAGCAGGCGTCCCTGGTCAGGCACTGTGGTGACTGAACTGCTGGAATTGGGCTCTGCTGTGGTAAAGGAGGAACTTTCCATGTTTTCAGCTGCGTTGGATTTGTGCAACAAAGTCTGTCTCTTAGTGGCCTTCTGGGTTGATGACAATGACACCCAGTGGAGAGATCCTACCCAAAGGCATAGCTTGGGCTTGCCTTTACGTGCTCCAGGAAAATAGCAAACCTTACTGGTGTATTCAAAATAGGAAAGGTGGTCCAAGGCATGCTTTTAGGAGCTGGAAGGAAGAGATGCTTCTACAGTGAAGCAGTGAAACCAAGAATTACACACTCACACAAACACAGACAGCCCTTCTATATATACACCCTCTATCTCTCCACAGACCCTGCTGCCTCACATACGGATGTGTACATAGACCCTCACAGAGACCACACGCTCACCAAACACAAATACAGAAGCAAACAGAACTAGAGCTAACTACTATGAACCAATGATAATGAGAAAAACAGTGTCAAATCGTTGGGTCAACTTGGCACTCACCAATTACCGAGTTTGTCACTGGCTAGCTTTCTCGTTTGTGCAAATCGGGCTGATGTTCTTGCCTGACAAGTTTTATTTTGTATCACAGCACAACTTCATATATAATTTTAAGCTGGATCTTTGGTTCAGGCAATTTGTGCCAGAGTGAACAGGAAATACCAGGTATTGCTTACCAACAAGAGGCACCTGCCTTTAGAAAAATGATGCAAACCATTAGCCTAACTATAGGGTGTTGCTATTTTTTTCTCACACAGAGTAGTAATTTCTTGGGATCACTCTAAGTTGGGAAAAGGCCAGTGACAGAGAAAAAGACGAGACATAACCATAGGAGACACTCAATGTGATTGATACTGATTGTGTAAAAATGCTGATGAACCAGACGGGGAAGAAAATCATGACAGAGATTTTGTGTGGGTGATTAGACTGGGCGGGTGAGCTGGGTGCTGTTCCAGCTCCAATACTGTTGATTAGATGATGTGGGATTGTGCGTCTCAGTCTTACTCTACACTACCTGACCCTTGTTTGTGAGGCAAATGTCACAACAGGACATAACATCGATTATGTGTGCCCGCTTTTGTCCCCATTCCACACTAATTGCAGCTTTGGACTGGGTAGCCATGAGTCAACATTGGGAATGAGAGGATCTGGGGTGACTTACAGGTCACAGTGAGCAGCGGTCAGGACCCAGTTTTCGTTGATCAAAGCCCCTGCGCAGATTCCCAGCCCTTTGATTAGAGCCATGTAGCGTCTGGCATGAGGTGGTACCTCATTTCCTCCTATAATTCCTTTACAGGATTCTGGAAAAACTAAGAGACCGATAGAGAGTGAAATCCTTGCTCATGGAACCATCCTTTACCTCAGGGAAGCTTGGCTAAGAAAATGGTAAATTCTTAGCTGTGTGTCCCACACCAGAGAATGGAGTGGATCAAGCTCCCAGGCTCTGGCTAGTGCTTGCTGCTCGAACATTTGTCCCGTGGCTGTGTTCCCAGACACACATGCATGTCCATAGTATTTGCTTAAACTCAGCTTAGTGCTTGACTTCTGTTTTTGTTTGTTTTCTGAGACCAGGGTCTCATGTAGCCCGGGCTAGCCTCCAACTCGTTAGGTAGCCAAGGCTAACTTTCCTCCTACTTCCACCTCCCAAATGCTAAGATTACAGGTATGTACCATGTCAGGCCTGAGTTTAGCTTTAAGTTTTATTATAAGTATACATCCCCACTTTTAAATTATATTTTTATGCCATGTGGTCTCTGTTTCTTCCTCTCTCTTTCCTGTTTCTCCCTACCCTACTTCCTCTCTTCTTCCCACTTCTTTTTTATTACCCATTTTTTATCATTATGGTTAAATGACAAATATGTAGAATGCTTTTCTTTTTGCATGGTCATCCTTATACTTTTGTCATGATAATAACCTGCAGCCCGTATATCAGCCATACATGCCATAGACCCACCCGAGAGAATGGTTTGGAGCCAGGAAACATGTCTTAAATAGGCACCCTGATTCTGAGGCAGGTGGTCTTTTGAACAGCAGAGGACTGCAAATGTGTATAAGAAAGCAGGGATGTATCCTGATGTTGACTCTGTGGGCTGTCATCACCAGCAGAGTCATTTGATACATGGTAGAGCCATCCCAGACCACCGCGTGGCCATGAACTGCAGAGCTGGAAAGGAGTAGGGTGGATTGGGTTAGCAACATCCTTGATTGGACCTCCCAGGATTTGGCCCCAGCCTCAAACAGACTTTCTGCTACCCAGTTTGCATGGAAACTAATTCTCTACTCTCTTATTCAGAAGCAAAGATACCAAGAGCCTTCTTTGTCACAAATGAAAAAAAATCTATTATTAGTAAAACATGTACCCATGTAAGTAAAACAAAACAAAACCTTAGCATTTTAATGACTGGACAGGAAAAAGTATCTGTTGGGCTAATCTGTCTATAAAGAAATTCAGCCCAATGACTTGGCTTCCTGAGCCCCATGTTAGCCATCTTCCAGGGCACACTGGGTTTGTATTACATAACACCCTCCACTTTATAGATGCTGATTACAGGTTTTAAGTTATTATTTTATGAGTGTCTTGCCTGCATGTACATCTGTGGAGATCAGAAGAAAGCATTGGGTACCCAAGATCTGGAGTTGTAATGGTTGTAGAGGTGAATAGTATTGTGGGATCACCCCTACAATTCCCCTTTTTGTCTTTGGGGCGTGGACAGTATTGTGGGCTCACCCTTACAGATGGTAGTGAGCCATCATGTGGGTGCTGGGAACTGAACCTGGGTCCTGTGCAGGACTTAACTGTGTACATGCTCTCAACAGCTCCCTACCCCCTTTGTTGAACTAATCCAGGACTTCTTTCCTAATTAATTCACAATCGTTCCATTTTCCCACCACTATTTTTGAACATTTGCTGTTAAAACAGAAGTGAATGGAACACAGTTCTCTCCATCCAAGGCCATAAGCACTAGGAAGATGGATAGGCAAGGTTGTTGCTTCATGTCATTTACAAAGGATGACAATGCTAGTGCTCAGAAGTGTCTGGCCCGGGTATCAGTGAGGAGCTGCAGGGTCTGAGACAGGAGCTGTTAAGTCCTCTTGAAGGAGGTTTGAAGGTACACAAGATTTTGGATGAGGCTAGGTAGGTTTCAAGTCAGTGTGCTGGGAATCCTGAGAAGGAAGGATCCCATCGAGTGATGTGAAATTGAGCTTGTTGGCAGTTGGAGAGATGGCTCAGAGGTTAAGAGCACTGACTGCTCCTCCAGAGGTCCCAGCTTCAATTTCCAGCTCCCAGATGGCAGCTAACGCCTATATGTATCTCCAAGATCTGACACCCTCACACAAACATAAATGCAGGCAATATATTAATACAAATAAAAATAAATTTAAAAAATTGAGCTTGTTAATCCACTGTGTTTAAATTCTTTGGAGGCATAGCTTTAGTATGCTTTCAGACTTTAACATTTTAATTGTTAACAAAATTATACATACATATATTTTTTTCAAGGTCTGACTTAACCTGTTGCTCTTTTCATCATTCAGGTTGAGTTTACCACAGCTTCTGCAATTTTTCCTGATCTCTCTGCATAATTTTATTTTGAATTCTTCCTTAACAGAGATCAAATAACCTATTCAAAATATAGGTGGGATGCCGGGCGGTGGTGGCACACGCCTTTAATCCCAGCACTCGGGAGGCAGAGGCAGGCGGATCTCTGTGAGTTCGAGGCCGGGCTGGACCGATAGCCTCCAAAACAATACAGAGAAACCCTGTCTCGTAAAAACCAAACCAAACCAAACAAAACAAAATATAGGTGGGAAATGTCAGACAATTCATAAAGCTCAGGGCACAGGGAGTCTAGAGTGGGGAGGAAGTTTCTTTTCTGCACATGGATGCCTCCTACAGGTGGGACACTGGGGGTATTGCCCTTAAAAACTCACATTATTCTATAGCAAGTTTATTGTCTGTAGTGGCAGTTTTAGTAAATATATTAAAAGTAAAGAAAAATTCAGAACCTAAAGAAACAGTAGTAATAGAGCATCTATGATTCCCGGGCATTCATTCATAACTGACACCACTGAAAATATTAATTACAATGGAAGATGGGTGGTATTTTTCCAGGTAGATGATAGTGATAATGTTTAAACACCCAAGTTCAAGCCACTAATAATGACAAAGGGTTGTCCTTACACAGTCCCACATAGTGCAAACCCGTATTTTCCCACTGTGAAGCACAGTCCTCTCTAGTCGTGGCTTCTTACACAGTCTTTTCTTTCTTTTAGCATTTGTCTTACAGAGCTATGCGTCTCTAATCAAATAAGGCATACACATGCAATTTAAATATTTACATGTGGCTTTGGGAGAGCCATGGACTTTCTCATGTCTAACCATGGCCTTGAATAGGTGCACAGGTCTTGTGCCAGCATTCCAGCTCTGACGGTGTGGTCAAACCAGAAGTAGGAGCTTAGGTCCAGCGTTTCTAACCAGCTGCACACTCAGTTCATTTAGTAACCTTTCTGCTCTTGGTTTCCCAAGTGTGAAATGGTGATGATAACTCAGACATTGCATTTTATTAAGGACAGTCATTTGTTCTGTGCATTCATATGTATGCATGTGCATGTGTGTGTGCTCCTGTATGTGTATGCATGCATGCATGTAGTTGAGATTATTTTACACTATACTGTTATTTTCTTCATCATCCCATTACTGGGCATGAACACAGCCACAAACAAAACCTTGAAACGAAACGGTGTAAGACATATCTGAGAGCATTTGATTGTACTTATGTAACTGGCAGGGCAGTTAAGGCAGCCTGTGTATCCTTACTTTAATGGCATTGTCGGTTTTCCACTTGGTAGAGGTCTGGATTCTTAAGAGTCACCAGGTGTGGCTGATGCTTTCATATTACCGCCTCAGACACTTGGGACTTTTAAAAAAAGTTGGTACGCCTTTTAGGTTGCAAAGACAAAATGTGCATTAAAAATGATTGGGGGAGCAAGCACCTTTACCCACTGAGCCATCTTGCTGGCTCATTACAGAATCGTCCAGTAACTGACAGAAGCAGATGTAGTGACCCACAGTCAAGCACTGGGCTGAGCCTCTGGAGTTCAGCTGAAGAGAGGGAGGAGGGATTATATGAGCAAGGAGATTTCAAGATCCTGATTGGGAAAACCACAGACAGCTGACCTGAGATAGTGGGAGCTCACAGACTCTGAACTGACAGCTGGGGAACCTGTATGGGACCAAGCTAGACCCTCTGAATGTGAGTGACAGTTATGTGGCTTGGTCTGTTGGCGGAGCATGGCAGTGGCACCAGGATCTATCCCAGGTGCGTGAACTGGTTTCTTGGAGCCCATTCCCTATGGAGGGATACCTTGCTCAGTTATGATATAGGGGGAGAGGCGGGGTCTTGGCTCAATTTGGTATGCCAGACTTTGTTGACTCCCCAAGGAAGGCCTTACCCCTCTGAGGAGCAGGTGAGGGGTAAGAAGGGGGGAACTGGAGGGTTAGGAGAGGGAGAGAGAGGGAGAACTGGCTGTGTAAAATGAAAAAAATTGTTAAAAAAAGAAAAGAAAAAATGATTGGGGGGCTTATCACTTCCTTTCCCTTTATATATAATATTAAGCATAAATGAAACCAATGTAGATTTCTACTTTCTCATGAGCAAAAGGAAAAAGCATATGAAAGCAAGTCTTACCTCCAGAAATGAGAAGGAAAACAACAGTCATGGGGAGAAAGGAGGCAGGAGGCATCCTGCTGCTGGGGTCCATTCCCATCTGGAGAGTGTGATTCCAGGTGCTGGCTTTAGTAATACAGGAGACACAGAGCTCTTTGCCCGCTCTCCTGCCCTCTCTCCCTTGTGTTATGCAGAAGCTGTTGGTATTTTACTACTGGAAAGTTTAGTCTTGTTTTATCTGTGGTGTGGGTACTTACTTGTTTCGTAAGCTGCAGTTATTTCCTTTGGGGTTAGATGTCTCCTATCACAAAGGGCAAATGTGAAGTCATGGGACTATGCTAATTTTAAAAACATTGAAAAGAAAATTGTGCTTAAAAGGAAATAATTTTAAAAAATGGGCTAAAATCTACTTCTTCAGAGAAGTTTGTGCTGGCCAGACAAGCAGACGCAGAAATCACCAGGGAAGTGTATATCAGTTAGAATGACTATGATCTAGAATAATGCACTAGCAGACACGTGTGAGAGACTCACTCTTGTTCTCTGTTAATGGGAATGCAAATTAGTACAAGCTTCATGGAAAGCAGTATGGAATTCCTTAAAACTAAAAACAGATCTATTACAGGATCCCCAAATCCCACTACTGAGTATATGTCCAAAGGAGATGAAACTACTCTATCTAAGAGATACTTACAGGGGTCGAAGGGATGGCTCAGGGATTAAGAGCCCTTGCTGCTCTTACAAAGGATCAGGTTTAATTCCTAGTACCATGTTAGGTAACTTATGACTGCCTGTAACTCCAGCTCCAGGGGATCTGATGTCTTCTTCCGGCCTCCTAGGATATCTAAATGCAAGTATACAAACACGTGGTCATACACACATAAACATGCAAACACATACTCATAAACAAAAAAATCAAAATCTTCTTTAAAAAACCAGGATTATTCCCATGCCCATTCTCATGATAGCACTAGGTATACATGCTATGATTAGGAATCAACCCAGACTGCTCTTCAGTGGATCAATGGCCCCTCCCATGAAGATGCCCCGAGACTGTTTTGCACACTTTGTTCTTCATATCCTGATGATAGTCAGTTCTGGTGGGCTTAGGATGGGAGAGGGTGGGTTTCTGTCTAGGGGGAAGTAAAATCGTAGGAGCTGCAGTGAAAAGGGAAGGTGGGGAGAATAGGGTCAATTTAGTCCCTTTGTGCCAGTCAGCCGGCAAGCAAAGAACAGATTTACTACACAGGGCAGGATGAGAGTAACTAGGGATGAGAGCACTAGGGATGAGGGAGAAGAACGTGAATCCTAGAGGTGCTTATGCCCAAGGACAGCCGTGGTGGAGCATTTGCAGTAACCATGGCCTGACAATTGCAAGGCAGTGATGGCCTTAGACTCAAAGTCATTGCACCCCGCCATGAACCAAGAAAACCAAAGTGCTGGCCAATGTTGAGAAAACCCTGGAATGTGTAGCTGAGAAAACATGGTATTTCAAAGTGAGATTGGTACTGGTTGTCACTGTAGCTTTTCCTACTCTACTTAAGTCTTTTTAGAGATTGTAGATCCCCAAACCTGGAGGTGACTCTGATTAAATGCATACCACTAGTGACCTGTTTTCTCTCTCTCTCTCTCTCTCTCTCTCTCTCTCTCTCTCTCTCTCTCTCTCTCTCTCTCTCTCTCACACACACACACACGGAGGCATCATATGCATTATAGAGGACTGTTATTACATGAGGCCCTATAAGAATTTGTATCACACAGGAATGAGATTCCTCAGGTGATCTCTGCATAGGTCCCTTAGGAGCCCAGTCTGTTACCACGACAACCAGCTCTGCACGGGCTGAAAACAGCTTCGCATAGATCCACCCAACATTCCTGTAACGCAGTCTCTCACAATGTATTTCTCATCTTGTGTTTCTGGCCATTCTCATTGCCCCTGGGTGTGAGCTGTCAAAAGATTTTCCTGGAAAATCTAGAGCTAGAAATAAGGCTAGGCAATGCCTTCTGAGGAAAATCTGAACAATGTCCACAGATCCAGTGTAAGACTTCTCCTTTGCCTGTCCTGGGTAGACTAAACAAAACTGATCGTCAAACAGAACCTAGAAAGCACTTCGCCACGCCTGGTCCAGAGGTGGCTGTGTGCCGGTGAACAGCGCAGGCTGGCCCCTTGTCCCTCTGCTGCTCACTGTCACCCCACCTAATAACACAGTAGCAGCTGAGGTTTTTCTGCAGATTCTCCTTTTCAGAAGTAATTGCCAAGAAAGGTTATCCAGTGTTCTCATTTCATCTGTGTTATGCAACACACGCAGACAATGAAAATATAAGAATATATCTTAGGGCTAGGGAGATGGCTCAGCAAGTGAAGCCATTTGTCTCCAAGCCTGATGACAAGTTCAATTCCCTGGGACCCAGATGGTAGAGGAAGAGAGCTGACTCCTGTGATTGTCCCCTGACCTTCATGTGTGTGCTGTGGCATGCATGCCTGCACACACACACACACACACACACACACACCCCAAACAAAAACAAACCTAAGTGTACAAAGGAGAGAATATATTCTAGCTCCATGTAGCAAAAAGAGATCTTGCTGGGTGATGATTACAGAAGATGAACTATTTTACTCTTTATATAAGTATATTTTTTAATATTTTGTAATGGGTTTTTAAAGACAGGGTTATTAATAAAAATACCTTTACAGTAAATGTTGATGATTAACTTTTGTCTACATGGTATTTTTTCTATTTTGCCAGTCTTTCTTTTAGAATGTAGGCACCATCCAGGTGTTTTGGCGCACACCTTTAATTCCAGTAGTTGAGAGGCAGAGGCAGGCATAACTGTGAGTTCAAGGCCAGGCTGGTCTACATCGAAACCTCCAGGGTAGCCAAGGACACATAGTGAGACCAAGGCTTAGAAGAAAAAAAGAAACCCGAAAACTTAAAATGTTGGTACCATCCAAGATGGGTGACATTAAAGGACATTTAAAGTATTTGTTATTAATTCTTGAGAATTTTTACACACGGTATTTTTCATAATACCTATGCCCTCCACCACCTCCTCCCAGACTCACCCTCCCGTTGCATACCTACTCGGCTTCGTGTCCTTATTTAAAAAAAAAAAAGCCCATTACGTTGTATTAGTGTTGGTTATGTATTCTTAGGTGTGCGGCCATCCACGAAAAGACAACTTTCCTTTCCTAAGCCACTATCAATTACCAATAGCTCCTTAGTTGGGGGGGTGGGGTGGGTTTTGTACTACCCTCCTCCTCCATGCTGGGGGTTTGTTTGGATTGAGCTTGTGCAGATCTTGGCCGTGTCGGAAATGCTATGTGTTCATATGTGCAAATGCCCTGTTTTTCCAGAAGATACTGTTTCCTTATAGTCATCCACTGCCTCTGGCTCTTACATTCCTTCCTTCCCTCCTCCACAATGATCCCTTGGGAAGAGGTGGGGTGTGATGTAACTGTCCCGTTTAGGTCTGAGTACTCTGCAGTCACTTATTTTCTAAACCTTGACCAATTGTGTGTTTCTGTGTGAGTTGTCTTCTATTGCAACAAGAAGCTTCTCTGGTGAAGTTTTAGAGATGTGCTAATCCTTAGAAGTCAGTTTAGTGCTGTTTCCAATTGGCATTGTAATAATAGGACACTGACCTATCTAACCACAGTTCTTGGCCCCTATAATGGTGTCAAGTATGGGCTCCATCTTATGGAGTGGGTCTATATCTTACTACAGAGATAGTTGCTAATTTATGTTCATTGATGCTCTATTCACAATATCTGGGAAATAGAAACAACACAGATGTTTAGGAGCTGAAGAATGATTAAGGAAATGTGGTTCATTTTTACAGTGGAATGAAAATAATTTTTACAGGTTGTTCCAGTTGCTGATGATTCCTTTTAATGCCCCAAACCTTTTTCTATTTAGTAGGGCTTTCCATGTCTGAACTTTTTATGTCTAAAACATTATTTCATATAAGATAACTCATTGGAACACCATATTTACTTATTAGACCATGTTTTACTGTGATAATACTGTTTATATAACTTGTATAATTCCATGTCAGTTTACTGTTGATATCTCTGTTGAAAACCTTCCATGTTAGTCTGTTTTGAGATCCAAAACTATAAAGATGAATTAAGACAATGTCTTAGTTTTATATTGTGTATGATAAGGCACCATAATGAAGTCAACTTATAAAAGAGCATGTTTGATTTGAAGTTTACAGTTTCAGAAGGTTAGTCTATGACCATCATGGCAGGGGACATGGCCACAAGCAGGCAGGCATGGCACTCGATCAGTGGCTGAGAACTCATGTTTTGAGTTATAACCATGAGGCAGAGAGAGCTGACTGGGAGTGGTGTGGACTTTTGAAATATCAAAGCCTAACCTGAGTGACACATCTTCAAGGCAGCACCTCCTAATCCTTCCCAAACATTCTTATTCAAACCACCACAGGTGTTCTCTACATCTAAGAGCCTCACTACCCAGAGGGGACACTCTCACAATGTTACTTTTTTCTCTTATAGATCACCTGTCCATCTCCGTCTTCATCTGTCTGTCCATCAATGCATGTACCCATCCATCTACCAGCCTACTCACCCAGTCTTTAATGAAGATCTGTTGTGTCCAGACACGGTAATAAGCATGAAAAGTGGGTGTTAATTTTATAACAAGGTAAAATTAATATTATTTCTCAACAATGGAATAGATATAAGATATTTCAATAAGTACCTCACTTAGTACATTTTTGGTTGGGTCCTATTTGCTGGACACAGTGATAGATGGAAGGATAAACCTTAGATCTCAAATTATATGGGGACTTTAACTGGTCAGTGTTTCAGGAATTTCAGTGTGGGTAGCAATGAGAGATGAGGTTAGAGAGCTGGGTGCATCATGGTGAACTTCGAGCATTATGATACGTAAGACCTAAAGATGTCAAAGGACAAGGGGGAGAAAGTCAGGGCTTTTTACCCTTTATTTATTCAGAATATTTTTTCATACAATGTATTTTGATCATATTCTTCACCCTCCTTCAATTTTTCCATTGCTTCCCTACATGCCTAACTTTTTGTTCTATCAAAATTAAAAAACTAAAACAAATAAAAACAAAACAAAAATCCAATAAAACAAAACAAAACATGGAGTTTACTTTGTCTTGGCTAACTATTCCTGGGCCTGGGGACTGCCCTGGAGTATGATTGATCTATCCACTGACACTCCACTGTAGAAAACTGATTTTC